TCTAAAATTTTTTGCTCTTAGTAGTATCATGGTTTTTAGAATTTCATCGATAGATTTCAAATCTTGTCAAAAAATATGCAATCGTTCCACAGTTATGACATTTTGAAATTATGCAAAAATTGTTTTCACATGTAGCAAAAATTCAAAACGTCATAACTCTTGAACGGTTGCATATTTTTAGACGAACTTTGAAATCTGTCGATGAAATTCGGTGTAGCTTCCTATGAAATTCTAAAAACCATGATACTACTAAGAGCAAAAAATTTTAGAGGGGGGAATCAGGAAAATGCTAATTTTTTTTCGCAAACTCCCAGTGTAAATTTTTTTTGATAAAATTTCATCATTTATATCCAACACCACCTTCCATGAGTTTTATCTGGATCCCATGCTCAGAAATCGAGATTCAACATACTGAAAAATCTTGGATACGTCACTGCCACTTGGAAATTCGTGCGAAACCTAGCTAATTTCATCATATTGTTATAAATAAACAATATTAGATGAAATTACTTGTTTTTCCAGACATATTCTGAACGAGACAAGTAGAGTCTGCTGATAATATCTGCTAGTTACCCACAACTATTATTTATATGAGTATATCATTACGAAATACATGTGAATGCTTGTTCATTATCTAGAGTTCGGTCAGACTCCAGTGAAATTCATTGTTATATTTAAACTAATTGTTCTTGTTCTAATCAAATCTTCACATGTCTATGATAAATTAGTAACAATGTTATGTATTATGTTTATTTTATCAATTAGGCTACGTATACATCCTAGGTGGACGGATTAGGATTAAGAATACAATTATTTTCGAAGAAGTTTGAAATTCTGAAATCATATTATATATATATATGATAAAGGAATCAAAATAATAGTTTTGAACTGCATTGTAAATGATAGTCATATAGATTCTATATTAATATGTAAATCATGTAATTGGAAGTAAATAACGCGTTGATAATACAATTGTTTTATATGTATTCAATTTTTGTTTTCAATTGAATTATAAAATAATAAACATACATTCTTAAAAATCAGTTGAATTTTCATAAGATTGATATTCTGTATTTAATTATGATAAATTTAGGTTATTTGTCTGCTCATTTTTTCGTGTTATAACATAAATTTTTTTGTTGACAAAAAAAACTAATTATTATTATGGATTAGTTTTAATATAAAGAAAGAAATGAGTAAGATGGTCTCGATCTCGACGGAACCGGAAGTAATTTTTTTTCTCACCGAAATTAGAGTAAAAAAAAAAATGATTGATCCTACTCATGTCAAAAAAATATTTTCTTTTATCTATTAAATAAAATAAAAATAAATTCTAATCGTAGTAAATCTTATCACATAGAATAAACATTTTATTTATTCAATCATTTTAAAGTTTTCATAATAATCTGTTATATTAATCATCTAGAAAAATTTTACAAAAAAAAAAGAAATCTAATTTTCAAATCATTTTTCTATTATGTTTTTTTTTTTTTGTCTTTAGCTTAGTGTTGAAAAATTTTTAAAATTTATAAATATTCATACACCACTTGCTGCGAGTCTTTCATCTGCAAGTTCTATATCATCGAAACAACAATCATCAACACCACAACAACAATATGAATTAGATGCTTGTCCTATTATATTTGCAATGGTTCGAAATTTAGCTTCACAAGTAAAAAAAAAAAATCTAAATAATTTTGTTTTTTTTAAATTTTCTATTCAATAAATTTAGGAAAATGAACAAGCTGAACAAAATGGTTTAGCTGTATTAAAATTTTATCATCAATTATATCGTCGAAAAAGTGAATTTTTTAATTATGCTCAAACAGTTGAATATCTTTCGTGTTTATGTGCCATTGTTTTTCCTCCAATAATTGTAAGTTTTTGATTATTCTCTTATTAAATCATTTTCTATTATATTTATTTAGCAAAATCAAATATCTTTCGATTCATCAAATACAATTACTCGTCAAGTAAAATATATTAAATTCGCTTGGAAACAAACCAAAACTTGCATTTTTTTGTTTTTTTTTTGAAGAAAACTGTCAATACTGAAGAATCTGTTTCATCAACATCTGATCTGGATTCTCTAATTGGTAACAAAAACAAAAAAAATAATAATTATTTATTTAATTTACTTTCTCAAAATTGATTTTGAGCTTGTAAATTTCCACTTATATGAAATTTTCAGTTTCATACTATGATATTTTTGTGAGATATTTATCAAAAATAGTCAAATTGAAAACCCAAAATTCTCTGTAAACCTTCATTTTATTGTTTTTTTAAAATACTTGTCTTTAATAATGGTGATAAGTCCAATCAGGGGCGGCGCGAAGAGGTCAGAACAGGGGGAGTGATACCCAAAAATCAGAGAAAGTAGCCGAAAATTTTTCGTAAAATTTATAAAAATTTGTCCGATTATATTTTTCCAAAATCGGAGAAAACTATTTAATAATCTCTCTAAATTAAGAAAAAATCTGAACCAGAATTCTCAAAGCAGGAGGTACTCTCCCCGCTCGCGCCGCTCTCAGTCCAATACTGCTTAAAACACTAAAGATGATTAAAACGATATTAATTTTTTCGTAGTATTGAATTTTTCATCAATATTCTCCAATGAAAAAGTAAGAATTTCCAATTACCAACTTAGTTACTTTTTATTCTTATTTGTTAAATATCTTAAGAAAACATTCTGGTATTGAATTAAAAATTTCATGTATTTGGAAAGTTTCTCATTCAAACTTGACGTTAAGTCATGAAAACTTAAACTAATCTATTCAATTTTTTTTTTTGCTTAGCTACATTTACATCAAATACAACATTACGTGGAACAATAGTTGATATTGTTCGAGATATAATTATCGATAGTCTCTATTCAAATACAGCACGAATACCAAATGTGATTGATTATTTTCTTTCTGTATGTTTAATATAAAAAATAAAATAAATCAAATCTAATAAATAATTTATTTTAAAAAATATTGTTTTTGTTTTTTCTTAAAGGCTCTTCCAGAAAATATGAATTCTGATTTAACATATCAAATATTTGTTCAATGTGTATTTAAATCAATAATTGAACAATTAGAAACATCAGAATTATGTCCATTAAATTCAAATGAAGATCAAATAAATACAATCCAATATGGTATTAATGATGAATCCGGACGATCAACATATTCACGTACATTATCAACAATAACATCAAATACTTCATTAACAAATTTTAATGTATCATCATATAAAATATTACTTGAAAATGTTACACATTATATTGAACGTATGGTTGATAAAATTTGGGATATTGACTATCGTGAACCAAAATATATATTTGAATTTATTATTAAAATAATTAATCAAGCAAAAAAACGAGGTTCAAATACATTTATGGATTCACTTTTTCGTTCATTAAATCGAACAATATTATTTGAATTATCAAGAAAAACTGATTCATTTGGTGGTAAATAATACAAAAAAAAACAAAAAACTCTTATAATTAAAAACATGTTTTTTTGTATTTCTCTTAGATCAAATGACTGCACTTGATGCATTACATCGTTTAGCTAATAATCGACAATTGATTTTTTCGGATTCGAATCAAGATATTGAATTTTTTGGTTGTCTTTGTTATTGTTTAATTATTTTAATTGATGAAACAGGAACAAAACAATTCAGGTAAAAACAAAAAAACAAAAACATGATAAAACATTATTGAAAATTGAAATTTACTTTAGTGATGGTTCAAGTTCACAATCAACTTGGTATCATCGTCTTGATAGTCCACCATCACCTATGCAACCTAATAAAAGTTTAATAATTAATGCTGCACAACGTATTTGGTCAGAATTATATATGAAAAAGAAACCTGTATGAACAAAAAAAAAAGAAAAAACTTTTAGTTTAGTTGTTCATTTTCTTTCTAGGCATTAGAAGAAGTACTTAAAATGAATTTTTCACAATTAGTTACACAAAATAAAACTACGTTAGTTGATGTTAGGTAAATAGGAGATATAACAAAAAAAAAAAGAAGGATGAAAATTTAAGAAAAGAAAATATTTTATTGAATTTATTTTTTTATAGTGAATATTTGTTTGAATCAGCATCAAAAGTTTGGGCAAGATTTGTCGAAGGAGAATCAAGAATAACAGATAAAATTCAACAACAAATTATGCATGTTGGTTCGGTATGTAATTATTTGAATGAAAAAAGTTTTATTTATATAGATGAAATTAATCAAAATACGATATGATCAACTTTTATATTTTTTTTTTATAAGATTTATCTTTTAAATAAGTTCTTTTACTATGAATAAATGTAAAAACTTTAACTCTTACAGCTAACAACTAATTTAAACGTAATCACAAAATAATTCTAATCGTACAACGGAAAAGTCTAAGAATTTCAAGATAGACTCCATACTAGAAACTATATATATAGTGAAATTTTCATAAAGATTGTGCTCCCTTCCTCCGAAAAAAAGGTTCCCTAGAGTATTCCTATGCTCCAAAATATAGCTTTTAGCTTTACTCTCATTTGGCGGTTCTCAGATTACATCATTTAGAATTTGTGGTTCGGTTTCTCATAAAATGCCAAGAGAAGTTTTGACTTTTTACATTATGCGACGCATACTAAGAAAAGTTCAGGCTCATAGTTTATTGCTAGCGAGATATCCTATTTTTTAACAGAATGCTCTGATCTATCCTAGAGATTAGCTGAGTTTTCAATTTTGATTTCAAATTTTGCATAGACACAAACTATTATCATTGGCTCTTGTCTCTATGGAAAGTTTGAAATCGAAATTCTAAACTCAATTTTTACTGGTGCTCCTGAGAGGCGACTACGGCATTTCCCTAAAAAATACAGTTTCTCAGCAGTAATAAGCTATTAGCCCGAACAGTTTTCAGGACATTCTCATAGCTCATTAAAAACGTTTCCTTATCGTTCCCATCGCTAACGCTAGTTTTTTCAGTGGTAACTCTTCTGAAATTAAGGCCTAGGATAAGTCTAATGCATTGGAAGCTTAAATAGAAAAAATATTGAAATAGAAAACTTATATTTTTAGCGTATACAACGATTGACTGGTGGTGTAACAGGTGGTTTTCGATCAAGTCTTCATCAACTTCGAGGAACAAAATCAAAACGTGAACAAGTTAAATTAGATCGAGCAACCATTCATGTAAAACTAGAAAATTTCTTTTTTTTAAAAATTATTTATTCATATGGTTCTTGTATTTGTCTATTTTAAAGAGTGCTTTGGCTTTAATGTCTGTTACTGTTTCCAGTGTTAAAGAAAATGTTGAAAATGAATATCGTCGATTAGCACAAGTATAAAAACCTTATAATTAAAAAAAAAACAATACTAATTTTTTTTGATATAAAAATTTTTCTTTTGAAGAATTGCGAACAAAAATTTAGTTATCTATATGAAGAATGGTTGGCTATTGAACATGATTTATTACGTGAACGTGGTTTATGGGGTTTTGATGAACCAGATCCATTAGCAAAATATAAACTTGATTTTATTGAAGGACCATGTCGTATGCGTAAACGAATGGTACTTAATGAAGATTTCTATAAACATTATCCCCATCGTATTCCAATTGAACAAACGGTAAATAAATTTATTTTGGTCATAGTATGAAAAACAAAGGCATAAATTTCTCTTTGATCAGAATAGAAAACTTAATAAACGATATCGACTCAATATCTTATTAATAGATCAGATTTAACACAAGAGATTTTTTGAATTAGAAGTTATATTTTTAATCTTTCTTTTTCGGAATTCGATTGGTGTCTCTTTCGAGATCTACGCCCATGAGAACAAATCGATGTAAATCTGGACCCCGCCTTTGTAAATCCTTAAAGAAATGTGAATTGAGCCTTCAATAATCATCAGTTTGTACCATGAACATCAAAGAATAAAATTCGCCGTTAAAAAATCTCTGAAGTGGTCAACCTAATTTATTCGCAGATCATTTTAGAAAGCTCTTATGCATGTCTCTAACACTGATATCAGTGTTCGTTGAAGCATTTGGAATAAAATGTTATTTAAAAAAGTCATATTTTGATAGAGTTGGTGGCTAAATATTGCAGCAAACTTAGATATCAATGTAGTCAAACTTCGGTAAATATCAATGCAAATGTAATCAGTGAATCACTATTCAGTATTCACCCCAATACAGCACATTCCTAAGAAATACATCTGTTTAGTTATTTAGTAACGAAAATCAAAGCCAAGATCTGAAATGAAAGAACTGAGGAATAATAAATGGTACACATGTTCGCTGACATATTTCAATGAATATAGGAAAACATATGAATTCATCTATAAATAGGAAATCCTTTCTCTTCAACAAAATTAACTCTATCATGCTTTCTATATTATCTCTATTGAGATTTCAGAAAAATGTACTCTTATTCTACCATTTGGTGAAGATAAATTATTTCTATTGAATTTTGTAATAAATAATATTATTCACTCTATTTTCTTTAATATAGAAACGAAAATTTAATCCACCCATTTCATTTGATTCCAAACAATATTCTGATCGACAAGTTCAACTTGTCGATCGTTTACTTATTACAAGTCCACCATCGATTGACAATTCTGTCATATCTTCAACAACAATATTAAAAGAAACAAATGAATCATCACCAACACTACCACCATCCACAATTGCAGTTACATCAAAAGAAACTAATGAATCATCTTCATCACCAACAGAACAAATCGTTCGACAAGATAGTGAATTATGGACAAATGAAGAAGGTAATTCTAATAATATAATTTATTATATTTTAATATAAATTTTTGTTTTCGTAGAAAAAAAATTACTTGCACCAACTTTATTATCAGTACGAAAGAAAACATTATCAACTGATATGTTACCAATAGAAGGATTAATTGTTGGTGATGATGATGAAGAAGATCCCATGGTTACTAATTTAGAACAAGATGAAGTTGAAACAGAAGCTGAAACTCAACGTAAATAAACATACAAAAAAATTTACTTTTGAAAATTTTGATTTTTTTCTATTGTATTAATTAGAAACACCAACAACATCAAATGAAACATTAGAAATGGGACAAACTAATCAAAATGTTTTACGATTACTTGAAGAAGATGAAAAAGTTTGTGTTAAATTTTTTTTTATTGTTTTCGTTTAACTACCAAAAAAAAACCAACAAAATATTTTTATTCTTATAGATTTCATTAGCATTTCGTTGTGCACGTATTGAAGGACTTGATGGTAGTGAAGGAATATTAATATTTGGTCGTGAACATTTCTATATTCTTGAAGGATATACATATAATACAGAAAAAAATGAAATTGTTGATTTAGATAAATGTCGTAATGAATATATACCATTAATACCTAAATCATCAACAATAACAAATACTGATATAATACAATATAGAAAAGAATGTTCAAAATTTGCTTATGAAGATATTAAAGAAGTTCATAAACGTCGACATATTTTACAAGTAAATATAGAAGAAAATTTTCATATTTAAATATATTTTGTTTATTTAAGCCTATTGCTTTGGAATTATTTGCTGCTGATGGTCGAAATTATTTACTTGTATTTGTTCGTAAAGAACGTAATAAAGTTTATCAACGTTTACTTAATTCAGCAACAGAATTAACTGATTCAGCTATTCATTCTGTATCTGGTCAACGACGAAGTATTAATATAGAACAAGGGTATAAAAAAATTATTTTTATTTTATTTATTCGATAATATAATAAATTAAGATAATATAGTTTAATACATTTATTTAATTTTTTATAATAATAGTCATCTTCGAAATCGTAAACAAATGTAAGAAATGATTGCTTTGTTTTTTTCTTCAAAATGCATGATGAGATATGAATGGTTTCTCATAATTTTTCTTTTGAATTTTATAAAAGATTGATAGAACTTTTTATTATTTAACTTCTTCTATGACAGGGACGATCCGATTGTCTATATATATATATTTTTTTTTTCGACAATTTTAGTTTCGTAGTATTCTTTTTCTTTTGCATGATATTTGAAAAACGCAAAAAAGAAATTGTAGAATCAATTATAGAAATTATTTTTTTATAGAATGTGTTAAATTTTTTTTTTAATATATTTATTAGAACGAGCTTTATTGGAACACTTATGGGTGAACGTTCTGTTACACAACGATGGGAAAAAGGTGAAATTAGTAATTTTCAATATTTAATGTATTTAAATACACTTGCTGGACGATCTTATAATGATTTAATGCAATATCCAGGTATTTTAATTGCTGATTAAAAATTATAGTTACCTTTTATTTTTATTTTCTTTTTAGTGTTTCCATGGATTTTAGTGGATTATGATAGTAAAGTAAGTTAAACTGTAGTATATGATTATCATTCTAATCTATAATATTAAATATATAGACATAGTTGCCTATTTTAAACTATTATCCATTTCAAACTAGAAGAGGCGTGGATATTTTTTAAATAACTTCTGATAGAAATCTGTGATTTTCACCGTTGAAAAGAAGAGATGAAGCTGCATCGAATCTTGTATTACAAATTTTATTACCAAGTGATTTGAGAGTTTCTATTGAGTTTGTTTTCAAAAAAATCTGTACATTTGGACTCGATTAATATAGTAAATTTTTATGAAAATATAGAAATATTCGCTTAATTTTCTCGAAAAATCAGATAGAAGTCCACAGTCAAATGCCTTTGACTCCCCTGAATTTTACAAATAAAAAATTTGGACCTTGTGCAATTTTGAAGGTGTTCGATTGGCGGTTCTGATACACTCCTAAAAATCGAAAATGCCCTATGTTGACTGAGCACGGTACATTTACTTGCCAAAATCTCGATTAAAAAACATTTAATAAAACTTGTAGGAAAAATTTGTATTATATGATTTGATGCATCTTCATCTTCTTTTTCTAACAGTGAAAACCATAGGTTCGTATCTACTTTTTTATCGAAAGTTATGAGAAAAACACGTACGACTCTTCTATTTTGAAATGAATAATAGAAGATTAATATATACATATATGTAGGAATAAAATAGAGATCTGTTCTTTTCATAATTGAAGAAAACACCTAGCCGGTTTGTTAGACCATTTTTCATCCACTGACAAGGGTTAGATTTCCAAAACACTTTTTAAATATAAATCTTCAAGAATTTATATTTGTACGGTTTCGCGAATACTAAGATATGATTTCTTTTCGGCACGAATAGAAAAATGAATCATTCATCTAACATCTGATTGTTAAGTTCCAAACCTTGAATTTTTTCACTCCGATATTATCTTATGACGATCAGTTACAAATCTGAGACAAAGCAAACATAATTCTTTTTTTTTGTCGCGAATTCTTTAAATAAATCACTTATTTGTTGAGCATAGTTAATATCAATATATTGATAACGTACATATAAAGTAAGAAACTAGTTTCGATTAATAAATTTGTATACAATTGATTATGTTAAATTATAAATTATCATTTTTTAAATATTTAAAGGAATTAAATTTAACAAATCCAATTACTTTTCGTGATTTATCAAAACCAATGGGTGCTCAAACTATTGATCGTCTTGTACAATTTCAAAAACGTTTTGCTGAATGGGATGATCCAACAGGTTCAACACCAGCTTATCATTATGGTACACATTATTCATCAGCAATGATTGTTGCATCATATCTTGTTCGAACTGAACCATTTACTCAAGTTTTTCTTCGTTTACAAGTGAGAAAAAGATTGTTCTTTTTTGTTTTTGTTTTTATTTTGTTTCTTTAAGGGTGGTCATTTTGATCTTGCTGATCGAATGTTTCATAGTATTAAAGATTCATGGTTATCAGCTAGTAAAAATAATATGGCTGATGTCAAAGAACTTATTCCAGAATTCTTTTATTTACCAGATTTTTTACTTAATACAAATAAATTTGATCTTGGTATAGATTTTCAATTAATTTCGAAAATATTGTTGTTCTTTTCTTTTCTCTGTATAGGTAAAAAACAAAATGGTTTAGCATTAAATGATGTTGTATTACCACCATGGTCAAAAAATGATCCTCGAGAATTTATACGTATTCATCGAATGGTAAGAATTAAATTAATAAATATTTATATATATTGATATTACACGAGAGATTTAATTAGGCATTAGAAAGTGATTATGTTTCGGCACATTTAAATGAATGGATTGATCTTATATTTGGATATAAACAAGAAGGACCAGCAGCTATTGAAGCAACAAATGTATTTCATCATTTATTTTATGAAGGTGCTGTTAATGTTGATGATATTAGTGATCCTCTTGAACGATCAGCTGTATGTATCTGTTGTTTTTTTTTTGTTACAAAAAATTAAAATCTTTTTATTTTTCGTTCTAGATCATTGGTTTTATAAATAATTTTGGACAAATTCCTAAACAAGTAATTTTCAAAAAAAAAATTATAAAAATCCATTTTTCCTGTTGATTTAATATCAACGAAAAAAAAACTAGTTCTCACCAAATTTTCAATTGTAGAAATATCTTCCGCAAAGATTTTATTGATGAAAACTTGCTCACTAACAAGGGAGCATTCTCAACTGTCACATCGGTTTTAAGTCGAGCATATGGGCATTATGTAGATCCTAACGGTCTATGAATTCTCTGAAAAAAGTTCGTGCTGCGAGTTTATTATTGCTGAGATACTGCCTTTTTACTGTATGTTTAAGAAAAGAGAGCTGTGGTCCCCCTCAAGAACACTTGGAAAACTGAATTTTGAATTTCAATTTCAAACTTTGCATAGATATAGGGCTCAATGAGAATACTTTATTGTGAAAGTTTCAGCTTTTTTCGTTGCACCTATCCTAAGATACAATTATCATAAAATTGCTCATATACCCCAGCGGATCCGATGTTCTTATCTCAGACTAGGAGCAACCAAAAAATCTGAAACATTCACAATAAACTGTTCTCATTGAGGCCTATATACATGCAAAGTTTCAGGCTGAAACTCAAAACTCACTTTCCTGATGTTTCTGAGGGGGACCACGGCTTTTTCCGAATCATATAGTAAAAATGCTATATCTCAGCAGTAAGAAGCTAGCGGCACGAACTTTTTTGGGAGGATTCATAGATCATTAGGACCTACATAATCCCCATACGGCCGACTCAAAAGCGATGTGACACTTGGGAATATTCCCTCGTAAGTTTGTCTTTATGGGATAAGATATTTTCCTTCTAAAACAAACCTATGTCATCCTATAAAAGTAAATCTAGTAAATAAGTTTTCATGAACAAAATTTTCTTGGAAAATATTGTTAAAATAGGACATCGGATAAGAATTACTGTTTCCATTGACAACATATGAACAAATTTTGAAAATTTTATAATTCCTGTTAGATCTTACTGAGTCTATATTCTAAAATTTGAATATATATACATTTTGTTTTTTTTTGCGATTAGCTTTTTAAACGACCACATCCACAAAAAAAATTAAGTCGATCTTTAATTGATTCAATTGGTATTGAAAGAAATTTATTTTTTAATCATGTAAATAGTCTACGACCATCAAGAATGCCAATTAAAGGTAATTGTAGAATTTTTTTATAAATCAATTCTAATTATATAATTTTTTTTTTAAACTTTTACAGAATTAAAATCTGCAGTTGGTATTATTCTTCCAACTGAAAAATCTTTAATTGCTCTTGAACAATTTAAAGCAATAATACCACCAAATTATTCACGTTGTATACAAGTATATAAAAAAAATTAATTCTTTAAAATTTTATATGTCTAGCATTATTACTTTCTTTTAGTATGGATTTCCAGATGAAAGTTTACGAATTATGTCTGTTGATTCTGATAAAGTAAATAAAATAATATATATAATAGAAAATTTTGCAAATTGTTTTTTTTTTTTGTTTCTTCAGAGTTCAATGATTTATGAATTAGTACAAGATGGAAAAATAACAAATGTTTTATGTCCAACATCTCAATATGTTATAACAGCAGGTACTAATACATTAATTAATGTATGGGAAATTGGTAAAGGTCGTCATAAACGTTTACATCTTAAAACTCGTCTTAATGGTCATAATGATACAATAACATATTTAACAGCATCACAAGCATATCGAATATTAATATCTGGTTCGGATGATCAAACATGTATTGTTTGGGATTTAAATCGTTTACATTTTATTCGACAATTACCAAATCATGCTGGATCAATATCATGTATATGTGTTAATGAATTAACTGTAAGTTAATTTTTCAAAGAAAACAAAAAGAACAAAAACAAAAACAAAAATCTTATTTCTAAGGGTGATATTGCAAGTGCAGCTGGAAGTTATCTTTATGTATGGACTATAAATGGACAATTACTTGCATCAATTAATACTATGGCTTATAGTAGACAACAATCTATACTTTGTATTGCCTTGTCTCAAGTAAATAAATATTTATAGAATATATTACAAAAAAAAAAAGAAAATTTTGTTTTCTTTCTTTCTTTTCTTTTTTATTAGATGAATGAATGGGATGATGAAAATGTGATTATAACTGGTAGTTCAGATGGTGTTGTTCGTGTAAGTTTATTTTATTTAGAAAATTTTTTCATTATATTAAAATAAAATTATAAATTTATTCTAGATGTGGACTATTGGTTATGATCAAGTACTTGATGAACCACCACCATCATCACCTTCAATGTTAACATTAGGTGAAGAACGAAGTCGTTTACCATCTATATCTCAACCATCACAAATAAAATTACAATCAAATACGAGTCAAATATCAATGGATAGTGATGCTGAATCTGATGAAGGAGAAGGAAAAACTCCTGGAACACCACCTACACAAACAGGTTTACCATTACAAATTAATCGATCATTTGATGATGATGGAGAATTAAATATAAATAAAGATACACTTGATGTACCACCTGTATCATCATTAAATAGTCCAACTGGTAGTGATAAATTTATTGTTGTTACAGATGTTGAAATACTTGAAGCAAAAAGTAATAATAATAATAATAATGAAACTCATATAAAATCAACTTATCTTGATTTAAAAGAAGGTTAGATAATGAAAATTAAAAGATTATTTATTTCAAAAAAAAATTCATGTAATAAAATATTTTTTATTTTTCTCTCGTAAGGTTTTAAATGGGATCGTCGATTAAATTATCGTGGTAAATTAACAATGCATACAGCTTATGAACGAAAAGAAAATCCAAGTCCAGCTGCTGTTACAGCAATTAGTATTTCAAAGTATGTATTATATTATTAAAAACAAAAAACAATTTTATTTATTTATTTTTATTCTATAGAGATCATAAAATTTTATATGTGGGTGATGCACGTGGTCGAATATTTAGTTGGACAGTTAGTGATAATCCAGGTCGAACAAATGCTGATCATTGGATTAAAGATGAAACAGTAGGAGCATGTAAAGATTGTTCAATTCGATTTTCATTTGCTGAACGACGACATCATTGCAGGTATGAATAGATTACTTGAATATCTATGAAAGACGATGAGAAATTTTTAACTAAAGAACAAACTTGTAGAGAAAGTTGTTCTGTAGTTAAAAAGTCATCAAAAAACTTCTCGTCATTTTTCTAAAGAATATTTTATGATTTCAAAAAATTTTATTCTATTGTTTTTATTTCTAGAAATTGTGGACAACTATTCTGTGCTAGGTAATTTTAGATGTTTTTTTTTATATCTTACAATTTCATTGTTCTATTTTATTCATTATTTAGATGTAGTCGTTTTGAAACCGATATACCTCGTATGAAAATATATAAAAATGTACGTGTTTGTCGTCAGTGTTATTCATCGATCAAAGAACAAAAATTATCAACTACAAATAATAATTGAACAAAATAAAAATGACTAAAAAAAAATATTCGAACTTATTTCACAGTCGATATTATCTTAATTTAGAAAAGAAAAGAAACTCACAAACATAAATCAATGCAATTTATATATTTATCCGTTTTTTTCTTTTTTTTTTTTTAAATGTTTTGTCCTGTTTAATCGAAGAAAAATTTTATTCGACGTACATGTACTGTGCAATATATCGAAACGCTCTAAGCAAATAAATCTTCTTCAACAACAGTGATCTAGTTAAATTCTACTTATTTTTTTTTCCTTTCTCACTTGTACATGAAAAATTATCCATATTCGTCTTCTTTATTTTGCGTTCGTGTATTTGTTTGTTTTCATTAGCTACAACGAAATCTTCGTTTACATTCATTCTATTTATCTTAACTTATTCTTACATTCCGTGTTAGGATGTGCCATTGCAAAATACTATCTATTCAAATCATCTTACCATTGCCTTATTCTTCCTTTTTTTTTGTGCGCCTTCCGTCTATAATGATTTTTTTTTGTCATTTTTCCAGAACAAAAACTAAAAAAAAAACAAATAATCGTAACAAGAACAACTTTATTTATTAACTTCCATGTTTTGTTTTGTGTCACATTATTATATAGAAGTTTATTTCTTTGATTATAAAAATATATGAATAATCTGCTCAAATCAATTTATTAAATATATTTATGCAAAAATAACAAGACATGAAAATAATGGACTGCCTATGAAGAAATATAGTAAAAAAAAAGCTAACAATCAGTAAGCTATCGATCGAACAGTCCATTATCCAAATACTTATAGTTAATGTATGTGGGTGATTCCGTGGGATTTATACCACTTTGGTGAAAGTGGTCTCCGATTTTGATTTTGATCCTCCATTTTATCGGAAGACAGTCTGAAAAGCATATAACAATAAAAAAGTTACAAACTTGTCCCACAAATTTTCAGCGCTCATCACGAAAACGAGGTACATGTATGAAATCAGATAATGTGAGCAGCGGATTCGGATATTTCTTTCTGACATTCACTCGCTTGATCTGTGTTGGATGCAGAATTTACTTCTACATCAAATGGTCCGAGTTCCAAACGGACCGCCTCGGGAAAATATGGGGTTTGGGTCAAAATACTGTGTTTTTGGCCCTATTTTACTAGTATGTCTAGGAGAAAATTGCGCCTTGTCCTGTGTTCGCCATCAAATTGGTTTTCTTGGATTCAGAATTCCATTCTACGTCCAACAGAATCAATTAGAAAGCTAACAGAGTTCTAAAAGCGAATGTGAGCAAGAAATACTCGAATTCGCTGCTGACTTTACTTACCTCAGGGGTGAGTAATATATTGTAGTCAGATTTTGTCTCATCATATATGTTCTTGATCATTTGTAAACTAATTTGGATCATTCATCGAGTTTTTATACTTCGAAAGAGCCAAGAATAGAGTAATTTTGAAATCTATTAACTCAAGTGAAATATATTGGATTCCTCAACAATAGAATTCATAATTGATTTTTCGTTGAATATTTGTGAAAAGTTTTTTCAGTTTTTATTTTTCATAATAAATGGCTGAAACAAAAATAAGTGAAAATTGTTCTATTTTAACTGTGCATAACCTATCTCTTTTGTTTGTAGTTTAGGTGAAATCCGCTCAAGACCATTCATTATGCGAACTGTAAGCTGATTCACAGAATCAGTATTTCATATGATCATAGTGAGACTTATAGATATATAATACTTCATACAAAACTACGACATATTCACATGAATTAATTTACAAACGATCAGGAACATATGATGATGAGATAAAATCTGACTACTATATATTGCTCACCCCTCAGGTAAGTAAAGTCAGCAGCGAATTCAAGTATTTCTTGTTCACATTCGCTTTTAGAACTCTGTTAGCTTTCTAATTGATTCTGTTGGACGTAGAATGGAATTCTGAATCCAAGAAAACCAATTAGATGGCGAACACAGGACAAGGCGCAATTTTCTCCTAGACATATTAGTAGAATAGGGCCAAAAACACAGTATTTTGACCCAAACCCCATATTTTCCCGAGGCGGTCCGTTTGGAACTCGGACCATTCGATGCAGAATTAAATTCTGCATCCAACACAGATCAAGCGAGTGGATGTCAGAAAGAAATATCCGAATTCGCTGCTCACATTATCTGATTTCATACATGCACCTCGTTTTCGTGATGAACGCTGGAAATTTGTGGGACAAGTTCGTAACTTTTTTATTGCTATATGCTTTTCAGACTGTCTTCCGATAAAATGGAGGATCAAAATCAAAATCGGAGATCACTTCCACCAAACTGGTATATACCCCACGGAATCACCCTTAAAATAAAAAGAATGCTCATTAACACAGACCCAATTGCTATTATACGATTAAAAAAATTCAAAACTTAATTGAAAATTAAGAGTTTTTCAATCGAAAATGCAAAAGAATGGATCAATAGGAAAAAGAGTCATTACATGTAATGCAACCATAGAAAACCTCTTCAACTACTCATGTGATTTTAGCAAGATCTATGATGTTTTTAATCATTACACCCAAAATCGTTCGGTACTTTCGCTAATTAGTGTTTTTGACGTTAGGATAAATTGAAATCTTCTTCCCTGGTTGGTGTGTATTTACTAAGTGTAGCTTAGAAACAAATGATTAACGCTAAGCCAATCCACTACACCAGACCACAAATCAATTGACTTGATCAGTAACTTTGACACTTTATAAAACTCTTAGTTTCATGTTTACTAATCGTTTTTTATTTATTCGACGTTTACCAACATTCATCATTGTCTGGCATCATAATCTAATAAATCATATAACTCAAATCTCAACATCTCATTCTCAAGTACTTTGCAATTGGAATGTGGCAATAACACAATCGAATAGACGTAAAACACCTACAAATACACTTGCATTATTCGATAAATTAATTACTCAACATCCAGATATAACACCTGATTTTATTACTTATCTTCTTGTTTTGGGTGCTTGTATACGTTTGGGTAACGTGGATGAAGGAAAACATATTCATGAATAGATTCAATAAAGATGGTGTGTGGGTGTGGGTGGGGGTGTGGTGGGTGTGAGTGTGGGGGTGGGGTGGGTGTGGATGTGAGTGTGGATGGGTGTGGGTGTGGGCGTGGGTGTGGGTGTGGGCGTGGGTGTGGGTGTGTCATTGTAGATATAGACCTTTTCTTTACTCATCCACACGCACACCCACCCACCCACACCGACACCTACACCCACATCCCCACACCCACACCCACCCACACCCACACTCACACCCACACGCTTATTCTCATGATTTGAAACGTTATCTAAACCAGTTATATAAAGCGTTTTGTTTTTCTACACTTTACTGTCGAGAACGTGTTACAACAGCATTTACCTGTGTACACGGTGGGTTTTGCGTTCAGAAGATTTCTATTAATTTTTCTTCTTTTTTCAATCTTCGGCAAATAATTGACAAAAATCCTAAGGTAAAAAGAATTCTAGACATAATGAACTCAACAGATCTACCGTGTTACTTGCAAAGCTGACTTATTTGTAGTGGGAGGTATCACTATGACATTGCAAGGTTGTGATAATTAGAAGATATGAATGATACAACGGAATAATTTGTTTGAATATACAGTGAATCTTTGAAACGATGATGTATCAAAGAATACATTCAATAACGATGGGTTTTTTTTATAAAGAAAACTTGGTTGTGCAGCATTCGTAATGGAACAGATAATCAACGGCATGTTGTCATATTTGTTCTTAAATTGAATTCAAATGTTCAGTGTACTTCGAGTAACTATTGCTGATTATCATCGATTCAACAAAGAAGAGTTTCTCTGCTATGTATTGGAACTCTAAGTGACGACAGATAATATTTTCGTCTAACTAAAAATCTATATCTCTATTGTCCAAACAAATATTCATTCGATAATAGACAAATAGATTTTTCATCTTATTAATGTCAATTGATTTTGTTTCTCCTGAAGTTTTA